TTTTTTTTTTTTTTTTTTAGACTTTAGAAACTCAGAAGCTGATCAAATATCGGGTTAAATATCGGTGGGGTGGCCAATGTCCGATATTCAGTTTTAAGGCCGATACAGGCCGATACCGATAGGGGGCCGATTATATTGTGCATCCCTAAAAAAAAAAAAACTTCTGATGTTGAGAGGAGGGCGTCAATCAGTACATGGGCAATATAGTGACACTTAAAAGTAATGTTCTCGCCTTAAATTATCTTAAAAGCTACTTTTATACAACGGCAACACATAGTAGAACTAAACTTAATACTTTGAGCGCTAATCTGGAAGCCGCTGCTGCCGCACTGCATGCTGGGAGAACTGTCAATTTTGAGACACAAGTATGCTCTGATGCATACTTGGTCAAGAGGGAGGGGAGAGAACTAAATCCGGGGACTTTGTCCATTCTCTTCTTGTGAACTGAAACAGTTCTAGGTCTGAGGCTGATGAAGTTACAGAGCGGAGTGGTTACAGAGGAAGTGGGATTTTGGTATAAGTGGAATGCTTACTGTTGCAGCTCTGTCCTCAGGAAAACTACCACAGCGCTGCAGCTCACTGTACAGCTCTCCTCTGGGTGCATACTCAAGGATGAGATAAACACGAGAAGCATCATGGAAATACCCATAGAGACGCAGGATATTAGGATGTCTGCAAGAAAAAAGAAAATTGGCCCTAAAACCCCTTGTTTTGTTTTGTTCAATGGCTGGATGAAACTAACAGAAATCCAGATCTGTACTAATACAATCCCCAGACAGATGAATTGTAAATATCAAAATGTAATTTTAATTTCTATATAAACCCAGTCAAAGAACTCATTCATAAGGTCCTACCTCAGATGAGACTGGATTTCCACTTCTCTCCTGAGCTGGTGCTCCACACCTGCCTTCTCCAGCTGCTTCTTGAAGAGCACTTTCAGGGCCAAGATGAATTTGGTTTGGCGCTCTCTTGCCAGGTAGACGTTTCCAAACTTGCCCTTTCCCAAGGGACGGCCGATGTCAAAATTTTCAAGGCTCCATGGTTTCCTGTGTGAAGACGAGATTTAAATGTAGTTCGATTTCAACCTTGGAGATTGTGTAATGCATGAAGTCTATCTATATTGTAAACTTTACATACTTTGATGATGAAGCCTCACTGTTCTTGGCAGGTTTGTCTAAAATAGCAATGATGTATTTTAATATTCATTGAAACTGATATGTTCTGGTTCAGTTAGGTAAAGCACTTACGTTGTTGCTTCTCCTGCTTCGCCAGGTCCGCTGGGGGGTTAGCCTGATCAGAGTTGCTACTGGGCGTCTGAGTCTTTGGCTGGTTTTGCTGGGAGACAGGTTTTGGCTGTGGTGCAGGAGTTACCTTCAAAACAGCTGGGTTTACATTCTGGTCACTAGGAGGAGTCTGCTTGCCAACTACTGAGACATGAGATACTGGCTTCTGCTGGCTAACGGGCCGCTGGGCACGCTGAGGACCATTTGAAACACCCAGAACACGCGGCTGCTGAGCCGGTGTGACCACAGCCTTCTGGATGATGTGCGACTGATGAGACACAGGAACCCGTTTCGGCCCATCAGTGTTTGACTGCAACCAAAAGAAAACAGTTTAATTCAAGTTAGTCCAGTTTTCCAGACTCAGATGCTATTAAAATGTTCCTGTCTTTATAATGATTTAATACAAAGGGTTTCCCTAGCGGGCTGCTCAGTGGCGCAGTGGGCAGCACTGCTGCCTTGCAGCAAGAAGGTCACTGAACTGATTCGATTCCTTGCCCGGGGTCTTTCTGCATGGAGTTTGCATGTTCTCCCTGAGCATGCGTGGGTTCTCTCCTGGTACTCTGGCTTCCTCCCACAGTCCAAAAACATGACTGTTAGGTTAATTGCATTCTCTAAATTCTCCTTAGGTGTGAGTGGTTGTTTGCCCCATTTGTCTCTGTGTTGATATGCGATGGACTGGCGACCTGTCCAGGGTGAACCCTGCCTCTCACCCGTAGACAGCTGGAGAACGGCACCAGTACCCCTTGCGACCCCACTTAGGATTAACCGTGTCAGAAAATGAATGGATGGATGATTTCTCTAGCTGGATATCAATCGTTGGTATGTTTCATAATCATGCAGCAACACAAATTTTTGAGGTTTGAGGAAAAAAAAAAAAAAAGAAAAACAGAATTTCAATGATTATTCTACTGTTTCCACCAGCAACTAAGGAGAGCAGAACAGATAACTGAGCTGGTGAAAACCACAAGTTTGTTTGGGGCAGATTTAATATAAATGGCCCTTTTTTTTTTCCCTTTTATCATTTACATGTCAAAACAAGGCTGACTTTTCAGACCCAGCTTTCGTTTTTGTACTTAATTCTGCTTGGTAAATAATGGGAGTTTCATTCTTCTTGCTGCATGAATCTGTAAAAAATATTGTGCAGACTGATTAAACTATTAACGTGTGAAACAACCCACTTGAAGGCAGCTAAATTAAATAAATCTGTCATCTTGAAAGTCATGTACTTTGCGTTACCTTGATTTCTGGCTTTTGGGGTTTGATGCCTTTGCTCACTTTTCTCGTGGCTGAAGAGTCCATATCCTGTTAAGAAAAGGAGTCATTTATAAGCACCCAATTGAGACACCGATTAATTTATCAATGTGAACATAGAAATTGATCAATAGTGATGAAATTGTAACCAAATTCAGACGCTTTAGTTTATAAGTTTTTTTTTTCTTTTAACAAAATACAGCAGCCATTTTTGTGCCTCCCTATCTCCGACTAGTTAGCTTAGCATCTAACGCTTAAAAAACGACCCTTCATACTCGTCTGATAACTATTTCTTGCAAAAAAATAAATAAATACTTACCTAAATAAATTATTGCACAGTGTCCAACAGCAACCGAAACAGCCCAATAATTTGCAAGAAACTAAAGCAGCTCTGAAGCAGGTAATCCCACCCAGGCTACTTAGCAGCTACATCGACCAGCTAACTGTAGCCTCTCCGCGAGCTACATAAACAAGTAAGAACCTGAGGAATCCGCTGATATGAGACGTTTTCCTAACTAAATACAATCGCCGGTTTTGTAGTCCTTATGTTATAAACAATTGGAGAGATGGACACAGAAAAAGGCAAAATACGCAAAGGAGGAAAATCAAGTTTGACTAAAGGCGAACGCTTCGTTTAAACGCAGGCTGTTTGATTTCAAACGTCCCTCTATTCAAAACCTTTAAACGAGACAGAGGCGTCTGATTGGCTCCGGGCCTGCTGTATGGTTGATTTCTATTGGCTGAGAAAGCATGAACAAGGAGTGGAGCGTGACGTAAGGATTTTAAATAATTCCTCTAAACACTAGAGGGCGATGTAGTGAAACTTGATTAAACTCTCAGGAAAACCATTCATAAAAGCTCAAATTTCCTTTAGTCGATGATTAATAACAAACTCTTGCTAGTGTTTGAATATACAGACAAAATCAATTTAGACGATTTTTGTAGTTGGAAATAAATCCAACTGACTATTAAGTTTCCAATAAAAAATAAATATATATTCCAACATATTTCAAGTTAATTAATCAAAATTACTAATCAAAAGCCAACAGCACAAAAAAAAAAAAAAAACATGGCAGAGTTTACATTTTTGAAGGCAGCAAAGTTCAGGTAGATTTTTTTTTAGATTTGGGACTTTGATTTAAATATTTTTGGGGGGTTTTCTACTTGATGGTAAATCAGCTAGAGAACCTGATTTGACTTAAGATGTAGTTTGTTTCGAATATAGGAATTTTGACATTACCAAATGAGAATAAAAGAAGCAGATTAATTTTATTTTTACTGGTTTGTAAATCATCCTCTTCGGGGGGTTTTTTAAGAGAGCATTGGGCTACAAACACCAATAGCACCAAGAGAGCATTTCAGGGTCTTGTTTAGGGAGCTTGAGATTTAGACTGAATTTCACACCAGAGACCTTTGTGGTTTCTTGAGAAAGCAAATGCTTGGCTAGACTAGAATGCCAATTTACCCACTTATGACATAATTATGTCCCTTACTTCTCGTAACTTGTAGTGTTTTAAACCAGAAATAAGCAAGAGCTTCTGTTCTTCAGAAAGTACAGCAGAATTTCATTTAAGCACATCTTATTATTGAATAGAATAGAATAGAATAGAATAGAATAGAATAGAATAGAATAGAATAGAATAGAATAGAATAGAATAGAAAATCCCTTTGTTGTCCAACAATGTTGGAATTCTGGTGTTTACAGCAACAAAAAGATTATAGAAAAAATTGTCTCACAAATGTGGACCTTAGAAAAATGTATGAGAATAACATAATAATGAATAGTTAAAAGATAAATCATAAAAAACTGGACTGTAAAGTGTTTTAACCATATAAAACTGTGCCCCTGGAGAATAAATAACCAATATACAGCTATGGCAATTTTTACAGTAATGGATATTTAAAAATAGCAGCAACATCAGAGATGTACAAAATAACAGCAGCAGGTTATTTAACTGACTAACATAGAAACTGTGCAAAATCAACATGAATGTAAAAACGTATTGAGGATGTTGGGAACAGCAGCAGTTTATATTTTAGTTTATATTTTTATTAGAAATTTATATTTTATTAGGAGCAGTTTATATTGTTAGAATATAAATATATATATATATAAAAAAAACCTCAGCGTCTCTGTTAGCAGTACTCTAACCAATTTAGCTTTAACTTAAATATCTAAGTATTAAAAACTCCCTGAATAATCTTAAAGATTGCAAATCGCTTGTTTTTTTTTAACCAACTTCGATTATTTTCCTTAATTTTCATACTATTTCTAATAGTTTTTATTTGTGAAATATAAACCGGCCTTTTTTTGTTTTCTCTTTTGTGTGTTTGTTTTTTATTTTTTTACAAAGACAGGGAATAAACAAGGAGACAGGGCCAAATTTATGATCTAAGGAGAAAATGAAGAAATTTTTAGAGGTAGGTCAGTAGGTCAGTCGATCATCCCTAGCAGGAAGCTTAAACAATTAAATGTATAGACAAAAAAAATAAATAAATAAGATAAAGGAATCATAGTGTTAAAAACTGAAAGGATAGCAAATTCTGAGGAATTTGAGGGTACTAGGTGGGGCTGATTGAAAGAAATCTAGACAATGATTGAAATAGTCGGCAACTAATTTAGTAAGGGGCTAATAGTAAACAGACATATAAAAAATGTGCATTTAGGATAAAAATATATTTGCTATTAAATGTGCTCTACATAAAACTACTCAAGTGGATTAGGTTTAGACATAGCTGGTTCAACTTCTGAAAAAAAAATCCCATAAGTACCTTCACTACTATACTTTGCTGTCTGAATATTTTATTTTGAAAAAAAATCCACAGATCAGCAAAATAATTTTTTGTTGCTGCTCTTCTTGTAAAATAATCCATCAGACTGAGGAAAAGTGTTCATTATGTTCTTATCCAATACATTGCACAGAGTAGACCGCATACCTTGCTTTTAATCAACCATCCTTTTTTTAGGGAATTTGTGCTGCATTTATCCTGTTTAGAGAAGAACTGGAAAGCTATACAATGTCTTGATTCAGAAAGTGATTGATAATAGCTAGACTTAGACTTAGACAAACTTTATTTTCATTTTATATACACAGAGTGTATACAAAACAAATAGCTAGATCGTGCTGTTTAGCAGATATTTTCACTCAGTTGTACTGCAGATTATTTTTTTCTTAATTTGAAATTATCTTTAGTTTTCAGTTGATTTTTCTTATATGTTTTTTCCATAGTTTTACAGAAGGTTACAAAATTGTTCTAATGTAGCCTATAGCCCTAATTTTTATATATATAAAAATTTGAGGCTAATAAACAATCTAGATGACTTTACTGTAAAACTTTGTGAAAAAAAATGCCCCTTTTTTGCCATTCAAAGAAATCGCAAATATTACAGCAGAATAAACTCATATTTTTAATTATGATATTGAACTGTTCTGGCCTTAGATTGGGTTGCAGTTTCCGACTTCTACCACTAGGACGCAGTATACAGTCCTAAGAAGAAGATAGCTTCATATTTCCAGGAAATCTATTTCTCCAAATTCTTACAAATTTACAAAGTTCTTACTTTACTGTGATACATTTTTAAACGACTTTACTTTATATAGAAGCAGTGATGAACTGTTACAACTGGAGAACATAGATTAGTAATAAATTGCAAAGTTTCCCATAAACTGGCATAATTCCATAAATGAAACGTTCAAGGAAAACGAACAAGTATCTTTTATATTTTTGTTTTTTTACTCATTTAGAATTAAAGTCAAATATTTGAAGATTTCCTAAATCAAAAAAAAAAATAAATAAAAAAATCACAAGGTACTGGTCAGTAATCTAGAATCATGAAATTATAATTTCCTTCAGTAGTTTCATTGCAAATGTAAAATTCCTGTTTTTATTCATCACAAGCTGTGTGATATTTACTTTCTTGAATATAGATGTTTATGTCAGCTAATGAAAAAGACATTACGCCTCTGAGGAAATTGCTAAATCAGAATAAAATTAATAAAAATATTACAAAAGTAAAGGAAGACCATGCACTGTGTCCATCCAGTAAATGGCCAGGGCTTCTTTTGCATGAATTACTGCAGTTGTGCAGAGTGGCCTGGGGGTGATCCCTGGGTCTGCTGGGCTGCTAATGGTTAGGGCTTAGAGCTTGGAATCCTGAGGTTGTAAGTTTGAGCCCCACTCCCACAGACTGCCACTCTGGGTCTCTGAGCAAAAGACCCTAAACCCCCACTCTGCTCCCCAGGCGCCCCATGATGGCAGCCCACTGCTCCCTAAGGGGATGGGTCAAATGCAGAGGTAAATATCTCCAATGGGAGCTCAATAAAGTTCAATTAACAGACTTTTGCTTTGTATTACATCCTAGAATGAAGCCTTACTGTGCATTGTTGGGTCTGGTTGTATCTCCTCTCCCTCCTCCTAATATTCAGTATATTAATTAAGGGGCAAAATAAGCAAGTACCATACCCTGTTGAAAATACATGAAGTGGTATAACCCAGCTCCCTAAACCATTACTGATTATGCCAACTTCAGATTTATCTTTTTATTTAGACTTTCCAGAAAAAAAAGAATTAGCAATTTCCTCATTAGCCCACAAAAGATGCTGATCTCTATGTTTGACAAGGAATGCGAGAGCTGTAGCCAACATCTTTGTGGTAGAACCTAGATTTATCTTAATTCATCAATACTTTGGTTACCGCAATTCGTTGTGCAATTTCCCTTCCGCTCAACTTTCCTTTAAAAAAAATATTAGGTCATCGTCAGTATTTTCACCATTGACAATAGGCTACTTGCTGTCCTGCAAAGAATGTCAGTACCTGTTGAATTAGCAATAATCACACTGTAAGCCATAATGGTACTTTTCTCCATTTACTGTTATTTCTTTAACTTTTCAGTTTTGTATGAAATCCAGTTTTGTTTTCTAGCTATATATCATCATCAAAATAAACAGATAAAAATACTACACCCATTTGCAATTATCTAAATGGTGATATTCTAATCCACCAAGATGCGCATGTACAAATGTGAAAATCATTATTTCATGTTTACAATGGCACTGTTTTGCACATTTTAAGCTACATCGGCCTGTTTAAGAATATCAACTTAAAGGGTTTACACCAAACTACATACTACATTTTCAGCCAACATTCTGGTTTAATGCATTAATTTTCCACTCATTTGGGCACAAAGTCAACAAGAACAAACTAAAGTTTAAAGAATGTATATTTTTAATAGTCAAAAACCCACAAATATTTAAAAACAAACACAAATAAATAAATTTAGTAACAGTTTAAAATATACATAAAAAGTTGTGAGAGAAGACCCTTTTAAATACACTTCACAATGTACTGGAAAGTGCCTTTCCACCAAGAGAAAAGCATAAATATGGCAAGTTTGATCCCTTCATTAAATTCTTAAATACAGTTTAGAATCAGGTCTGCACTTTTCCTAGTACAGAGTCCGAGTATTGCTGCGGTCCCATAGGGAACTATAGAGAAAGTTTCAAACTATGAAACTTTGACCTACTTGTTTGTTCCTACCTTCATTCACAAATAACATTTTAACGCTGGGTTAACTCGTAGTTTTCTGCCATCACAAATCATTAGTAGTTAAACCCTCCTCTGAATGTGAATAAAAACAATCCAGTTGAACCCTGCAGACTAAAT